TTTTAAACCATTTGAAAACCTTTCAACTTTGAAGAAAACAGATTGATCTTAGTACATAAATAAAAGTTGCCATTTCCTCTGGACTGCACAAAACTGCACATATCTCTAAAAAAATTCTATCTGCCTTGAAAAAAGCATAAGCTCGTTTTCAGACCGACCAAGTGAAAGCATATTAATGTAATTGCCTCTTCTGTCTATTGCTATGAGAGAAAAAAACTCAGAGAGATTTACCACAAGCAGGGGGCTGACTTCATCAGAAAACATGCAGCAAGCTCCTCGCTGAAAGGCCACGCTGTAGCCCTCAGACACTGGCCACTGTCTGAGCCTGTCGTTCGGGTATTTTTCACTGAGTGTGTCTGACAGAAAGATAACACACTGTCACGCAGTGCCATCCATCTTCGTTTCCAAGTCGCTCCTGGAGAATTCAATCTTAAGAGTGTGGGGTTAGACACATCGGTGATTAATCAACTCCACGCTCATGTGTGTGTGAGAGTAGACCTATGTGTCTTTGTCTGTGTGTGATAAATCACTGTCTGACCCTGTACAGGACACACAATGCCTGAGCCTTCTTCAGCCCGCTGAGGATAAATTCATCTACAAGTGACGTGCAGACAATAGTTGGACAAGAAGATGATTCTATGTCCCTCGCTCGGCTGCAGCATGAGGAGCAGTGAGAGTGGTCGATGTCATGTGCTGGGGTAAAAAGTGGGAGAAGAAAAAACTTAATACTGGAGGCCAACCAAGAGTGAGTACTGCAAAAGGCATGGGAACACTCATGCGCACACAAACCCAAAAACACACAAACATCAGGGCACAAGAGTTGATGAATCATTCCTCAGGGTTATTGGGAAAGATCCCATTCAGAAGTGAATCAACCGTGACACCAGGGTTTGTGCGATGCATGTTTAGGTTAACTATCATGAACGACATGTGAGAGGTGACGCAACCTGGGGTAAATTACACAACGTTATGAAATAGACATGCTAGACAAACAAAAGTGACAGCCCCGGAGGTTCTGTTGTTAATAACTCGCAGCTCGCAAATGAACTCTGAAGAACTATGACAACAAAGTTTATTCTTTGTGTACGTTATCTCATTATAGATCTGTAAGCTACAACCATCGAGGATGTAGCTTGAGTGTTACGAGTGTTATGTTTTGATGAGGAATTATATTGTAACTGCACCACATTCTTTATTGTTGAATGTTGTTTCAGGAGGGAAAACTTTTTTGGGGGAGTCAAAATCAGAAAAAATTCACAATGAAGGTTGGAGTAAAAAAAGGATTATTGTATGAAGTGTATTATTAAAGTCACCTCCTTTCAGAAACATGGAGCAGGCATATATAGAGCAGACAATAATCTGTGCTTGTGGAGCTTAAAAGGTGCAGGTCCATCTGGAGGAGGACCAGGGAATGTGCCGCGCAACAGGGGTCGAAGGGTTCATTCACCTGCTGCCTGAGGGAAAAAGGAAGCCCCACTTTTTTCCCCACATAACAGGTGTGCTGGGCCGTCACAACCATCAAAACAAGAAATTCACATGAGCAGAAAGGAGAGACGAGGAAAGGGGGTGGGCGCTGAGGCGAGGGAAACAGTAATTATGAGGGATGGGCGGCTGTAGCCGTTGCTATGGTTTCTGTTGCCGCTCCTCTGCTACTCTTTAAGAGGTCGCTCGCTGCAACAACGCATGCAACATTGCTCTGATTAGGGAGAACGGTGATTGGTTCCACATTGTAAAGGGAGGGAAAAGCCGCCAGCATCGGTAGGGTTCCACTGATTTGTTTCCCCATTATCCACCTCTCAGGAAAAAGAGAGGGGGAGAGTCATAGGTAGAGGGGAGAAACTTCTGAACGAGCATTTATGTTTCCAATCAGGAGATTATGATCACAACATGTGCCCACAGCAAATGGGCCTGAACTCAATCACTGAGGGAGGTCTTCAGGCTCAGGGCGCACGGTTCACCGGTTCAAGATCATTACTCCTCTCTGTGCAACAAAGGGCTCTGAGAACAGCCAACGCATGCAAACATTAGAGGACATCAGCATTGATGAGCGCGCAGAGATGGGAAGGTAAATGTCAAAGCCAAGTGAGGGAAATCCTGAGCCGGCTGAGTTGGGGCTGCAGAATGCATTGTTCTATTGTACAGGTTTTTTTTCATTTGCCATAAGATGTGAGAACAACTTGACTGTAGAGCATAAAAGTGACTGCCCACTGGAACCTGGCCGAGCAGCTACGACATGAAATGTGACCATAAGATATGTGATTCAGAGTCACAAAAATATTGGAAAACTTTAAAAAGGTGCAAGATTGTGCACAAAAAGACTGAACGAAACGCAACTGTCGCCTCACAGCAAGAAGGCTCCTGGTTCAAATCTGGTTGGGGTCTTTCTGTGTGGAATTTGCATGTTCTCCCCGTGTCTGCATGGGTTTTCTTTGAGAGTTCCACCAACTGTCCAAAAACATGCAGATTGGGATTAGCTTGATTGAAAACTCTAAATTGATCGTAGGTGTGAATGCGAGTGTGAAGGACTGTTTATCTCTATATGTTGGCCCTGAGATACGCTGGCGACCTGTCCGGGATGTACCCCACCTCTCACCCAGTTTTAGCTGGGATTGGCTCCAGGTCCCCTGCGACCCTTTAAGGATAAGTGGGACAGATGGTGGATGGATTGGTGGATGGAGAGGATGGAACTACACATACCATAAACCATTACGAATGATCCCTTCTGACTCCATTTCATACAGTGTTTAGTGTAGTTTCGTAACATCAGTTTTTGGTTCCTGACTTTGATCACTGCGTCCCTCAAATGCCTGTTCCACCAATTCTCCAGTGTGTTGGTGAAGAACCCAGTGCATGAGATATATAATTTTACGTGGACATGTAAGCTAGCATTACCATTAGCTAGCTAGCCAGCCTGCAAAACTCACCACAACCCTGTATGTGCTGTCTGTCATACTGGTACTAACTTACACTTATCTCCGGTGCACGACCTGACTTGTAGTGATTTTCATCTTTTCCTCATCTCATTTCCTCAAAAAAAACAGATTGTATTGAATCTGATTGTAGCCAACATGCTTTTTCACAGTTGTGGAAACATGTCAATGGTAACTGCGAGCCAATCAGAGCATATACACCTGAGGATTGTTGGTAGAGTAGTAAAACACGTTTTTCTTAAAATCCAGTTGATATCATATGGACATGTGGCTTCTACTAGAGCATATAACATTGTTTCACAATCTCCTATTTTGTGGTAAATCTATCTTGGATGGTTATAGTGTTATTGCTGATAATCAAAATCTCTATTCAGATAATGAATGAGATCTTCTAGAAGCAGGCTGTTGAGCTCTATAAAGGTTAGGTTTCCGTTTTGAATTATTTCATGAAAGAACAAAAACAAATGCTTGAATGGACAAACACATAAAACCAAAACGTTTTCCAAATCCACAAACATAATTTCGCTTTCTAACGATGAGACCAGTCGCACAAACAGACAACAGATGTAGCCACACACCAAAACTAACAAACACATTTCATACCCTATGATTTGCACACAGAGAGACATTGAGACAGGCAGGGAGGCAGACACATTCACAGACCAGTTCGACCGGTACAACCGTGCCCACTGAGGGAATGTCTATCTTGGCGTCACACTGGCACCAGAGGCTGCATCATGCTGGCATTACGTTGGGCCCGCTCCTCTGCGAGGGAGGACACACCTAGTTATATTCGTGGGCTCCATAACACAGCTGTTGCCCTTTTGGCTATGCCTCACTGCATTTGGAATTTTTTTTCTGTGCCACCCCAATGCCACCAATGCTCTAAAATTCCCTTATGGAAACATAAACGTCCAAGAACTGTCACCAGCAAACCAAGCGAGGACGACAGGAAAAAAAACAAGGGCTGACGTGGAAAATGAATTAAATGACCATCCCCCCCAAAAAGTCAAAGAAAACCAAAAAGAAACGAGTAAAAGTGAAGTACAACATGGATGATGATAAAGTGGAAGACAGAAAGGAGCCTGTACGTAATCTGATGGTGGCACAGGCTGAGCTGAACGCAGCCACAACAAAGTCATATCAAAAGATTCCACCACACGCAGTAATCTGATAACAAGAGACACGAGCTGGCACAGTCATACCCAAACACACACAGGCCTGTCGTCACACACATACCTCTGCTGATAAACAGCAAGGGTGGTTTTATCATTTTATGGCTCTTACAACATGCACTCACAAACACACACAGCAGAAGTGTGCCTACCTTATCTTCTAGCCTGATCAGTCGTGCTCCAACGGTCGGGTATTCTTTATCTTCCCCTTTTCCTGGGTAATGAAAAAGTGGAAACAGATCATATAAGCTATTGCAACACATACAAACAATAAACATGTACACAAATATTTATCTGTAAAACCATGATCACAAGAATGAATTTCTTGGTAATAATCACAAGGACATACAAATAGATGCGGAAAAGTGTATATCGTCAAACTCAGATCAATGAGTGTGTGTAAAAACTAAAAATTTACATAAGAGACCTGCATTCTCATGAATTCTAAAACATTCATTTACTTAGTAAATGTATTCATTTAGTCTGTGGGCACTGGTCACAGTGGTAGTTTACAGTTCTCTACTGAAATGAACTCAATAAATAAAGGTCAGAAAGAGTTGCTGTACTGTATGTGACCTTGATTTTCAGAAAACTTCATTCTTCTCCCCTCTTCAGTGATCAAAAGTTGGGTAAACTGACTTTAGCTAAGATGACCTTCCACTTCTGAGTATCCCTGAAGCTGCATTGACAATGCAACAACTCCTGAGCTTTTCCTTTGCTGAGAGTAAAACGTCTACAGTTGTGGTCTCACCGATGATTTCATTTGTGTATACCTGCACAGCACAGCAATACATGTCTCCAGAGCTGTTATCTTAATTTATTCACTTGTCCCCCTGGACAACTAGTTAAACATTTGAGTGACCAGAGTCAGCAAAGCACCATTAACATTTACTAAGAACCTGGGAACTGGACCAAAGGTAAAAGGGCAGAAGGGAAGATGAATAGAGGTGAATAACAAATCACAGATCTCATACCTGTTTCCTTGCTATTATTAATAAATGTAGCTGTACGTATGTAGCCACGTAACATTACATTCTTAACCCTATAAAATACTGCAAAGGTTTAACTGGTTAGTGGTGTCTTTATCCAGAGGAGGGCAGCCATCATTAGACCCCTGTTATTGCAGATATTTAGACTTTTTATCAAAATGAAAAAAAGTTTTTCTGGTTTAGACAAATTAAAATGTTAGTCATCATAAAGTGGCAAAATGGAGACAACACGTGACCTGTTCAAACTGAACAAATATAGGTGCTGATTCACTGGGCTGGAACCAGGCTATTAATAATGTCAATGCAATCACAAAACTCATAGTATTTATTAATACTAGTAACTGATTTTCACTGTGAATTCCAAAAAGCAAGCACAGAGAAACAAGCAGCACACACACGTAAACATGTCCACATCCAAACAGAGACATACACACACACATCAGGCACTTCTCTCTCCCTCTCTCTCTCTTATTTAGTCTGGCACAGTTTGTGTATGTGTGAGCTATAAACACAGAGATGGAGTGAGGAGTGACGGCTGTCTATCAGACACAGACTGTTTTGTTTGCTGCGTATTTACCTGGAAGAAACATTCCTGGTTTTCCCAGAGTGCCGTCCAGTCTGTGGGAAGAGACAAAAAAGATATTTGACAGGGAAAAAAAACATACATAGGCCAGCACTTCATTCTACTTTGGAGTTTAAGGTCCATGTTGGAGAAAAAAAATGAGATTTTGAGAATAAAGTCATACTAACGTTATTAAGAGAATAAAATTGTAATTGAGTAGAAACTCGTAATATTAAGTCGAAAAGTTGTAATTTTGCAAGAATAAGTGAAAAGTTAGTAAATTATCAGCAAGTAAAACCTGCACTCACCAGAGTCAGCCCCTACCAAACTTTTCCACTTTTCCTCCTTTACAAAAGAAGAAACTTACTTAGTTTCTACCAGTACGTGTGGTTCTTTCTTTGGAATACACAGTCTCTTAAAGTCCTGATACATATGATAATGTGGTGGTGGAGTGAAAAATTTATTTTAGTATTTTGATATTTGTGAAACCTAAAGTATAACTAAACGAGATGCTCCACATTCCTCATTTTAACAGATTGCTCTTCTGATATCCCCCCTCTAAATTGACCCATAACCTAAAATTACAACTAGTATACTTTAGTATACTAGTAAGAAGTATTACAACTTTGTTCTAGCAATATAAAGACTTTTCTTGTTATATTAATTTTTTCTCATTAATTGGCCCAAATACTCCATCATATTATTCTGCATCATGAACCAAAAAGTAAAACAATGTAAACAAATTTAGTAAAGTGCCAATAAAACAAAAAAACTGTTGAAGAGACACACATCCAAGTTTTAAATGGGTGAATATATGAATACCATGCTCCCATTGAGATGTGAAGCTCTGAAACTAAACAGCGAGAGAACAAAGGCTTCACTTGCCCGTTAGTTAACCATAAATTTGGTGAAGCAGGAGGCCCTTCACTTTGCATTGTAAAGCCATTCTCTTCTTTTCATCACCTCAAATTAAGGGTGGATTTTTATCACAGCCACCACATGTCTTTAATTTTCTTTTATTTATACCAGTGACACATTTGATTCAAAGCGGCCGCTGCATTATTGCAGTGTTTTCAGACGAGTCAGATGACGCCAGTTCTGGGATGTTGTCTTTTTTCTTTAGTTTCAAATTTCAGATTTCAGTAAAAATCTTTTTTCGGGTTACAAAACAATCTGTCAACAAGTTGGATTTTATGAAAAGAGTCTACCAGTATTATAACTGCAGATGATTACTTATAATTTACAGTCACAAATAGTTCAGTGTTCTGTTGATATACTGATACATGGTTTAAAGATTTCACAGTGCATTACCATGGTTCAGTTGAGGTACTGGTGTTATGAGGTCCAGGTGACACACTTACGTAAGTTTGACCCAAATTATTATCTAACTGACCTCCTACGTGGGAGAGTGTGGTTTAAAGAAAGAAAATCACTTTAGAAAAAAGCAGAAAGGTTTAGAGAAGAGGAAGAAAGGTTTTACTTTAGCGAGGACTGGAGTTGATTACAGCTCAACAAAGTGCAACAAGGTGTAACAAATCAGAGAGCAGCGAGGCTCCTATCTGCCAGAGCAACAGTACGGACAGGAGAATGATGAAGGCGCAGCTGACAGAAACCATTAAGAGCTGCAAAATGACTGCAAGCTGAAAAGAGACATTTGTAAAGGAGTCATCTCTCTCTTCCTCTTGTTTCATGACGCACATCGGTTCAGTTAAGGACCATGGTCCATTCATGTCTTTGTTCCATTGTTGACATTTGATCTGGTTAGTTTGGTTTCACATTAAGATTTAGGAAGCACACATAAGACATTTGTATGACACATTGTCACCTGTTGTCATGTGGACTGTCTGCCCATAAACACAAACTATGAATTCAATAGCAATGATTTAAAAAGTGTCTGGAATGGTATGTCAGTCACGACAGGTAAGGGTAAAAGGAATAATAACCTGGATGGTTTTAAATCGGACAAGAAGGTGCCGATTATTTTAATAGTTTTTATCTTATCCAACTAAGTTGATCAGATGAGATTAAAAACGTCTTACACTGCACAACTTGAATTTGATGTTCAAGATGTCAGGACTCTGCCAAACCAACAAGAGCCCTGGCCCTGACAATATCTCTGGTCATCCACTTAAACACTGAGCAGATCAATGATCTTTTCTTTTCCATTACATATTCAAGTGTTCCTTAAAGCAGCATAAGATGCCTACACTGTGGAAAAGAAATTGTGCCAGTAACTAAGAACATGTCCCCTTAGGGCCTTAATGATTTTAGATCTGTGGCCCTGACCTCACTGGCTATGAAGACATTTGAAAAGCTCATCAAGAGAGAGCTGGTCGGGGCTGTGGAGGATTCGTTGGCTCCTTTACAGTTTGCCTATAGGAGTAAAAAAGGGGTTGATGATGCTGTGATGATGCACATTTATTGTTTTTAGATTTCTCCTCTGCCTTTAACACAATTCAGCCCCACATACTATCCAATAAACTGCTCTCTCATTTGAACCTGTGCCCTGGCACTGTTGGATGGAGTTTAGGCTTTCTTGTGGACAGTTCCCAGTGTGTGAGAGTACATGGCTCTGTGTCTGACATCCTGTTCTCCTCCACTGGTTCGCCACAGGGCTGTGTCCTTTCACCCATCTTGTACATCTTGTACACTGACGACTGCAGAAGTTCCCAACCAGGCAGACATATTCTGTTATCAGAGGACATGGTCATAGTGAGCCTGTTGCAGGGGGAGGACAGAGTAGCTGTCCCAGAGGTGGATGATTTTACCAAGTGGTGTGATATCTCCTTTATAAAATGAAATGTCAGAAAAACCAAAGACAGAAGAACCAAAAGTTCGTAGATTTTAGAAGAAAGTCATATCCAGCAATTCAGATTGCTATCAATAGAGAGGTCCAGAGTTATAAGTACCTAGGAATTGTTATCGATAACAAACTAACATTCAATAAAAATACATTAGCACTTTGTCAAAAAGCACAGCAACGTCTTCCCCTGGAAGCTCAATTGTTTTGGTGTGTGAGTAAGTTGCAACACATCATTCATGTTGCTAGTAAGATCATAGTCATTAAGTTACCTGACCTGTCTCTCACCTTTGGTAAGAGAGCTACAGCTAAGACTTGAGACTTAGTCCTCTTTGCTGAACTTAAGCTAACGCCCTGAGGCAGAAGATACAGATTTATAATTCAGACCATCGAACTATTCAGTTCTAATGATGACCTAGACATTTCCTGTTCACTCCTGATGACGGTTTTATTGATGGTTTTACAATCTCTCAGTTTTCTGTTGTTATCTGATGTCTTTATGTATTTATGCATTGTAATGTTTTTTCTTGTGCCACAGTCTGTGTTTCCTGTCAGTTTGTGTTATTATGCCTGGCTGCAAAACAAATTTTCCCTTGGGGGCAGTAAAGTTGAAGTCGAAGTTTAAGACATTAATTGGTTTCTGGATAGGCGTGCACCTGTCACACAGCAGTTGTCTGTTGGACACAGTGGCCAATCTACTTTTCTCTAAATTAGGGGCCATAAGTGGCCACAATTTACTCAGAGGGAAAACTATACGTCCAACCTTCATGCACAATTTAGTAAGGTGCACATCAGAATAGCAGCTGGGGCCACTTCCCCCCAGGTACCACCCCTGGATCCACTCGTGATATGAAGGGTAGTAGTTTCCCGAATGTACGTCTTGCAATCTGATTGCTCATTTTTGCTTCTCTTCAGCTTCTTCTTTTATCGTTTAATGCTGTCTCAACGTCTTGAAATTGGACTGAAAGTCTGCACTGTCCAAAAAAGTGTTGCACAGGAAATTAAGTCGACCATGGTTTGGTGTGACCAAGACCACCTGTTTGGGTCCAAATCATCTCCAGACCTGTTATTACACTCCAGATCAGACAACGTTGTGTGAAAGCGTCTTCAGTAATGGGCAAGATAAATAGAGGCACAAATTCACAGGCAAAAGAAACATGTACACAATATCACCTAATAAAGCCTGAATATTCAACTAAAAATATTGTTTTATACATATGGAAATATATGTTTTCCATTCTTGCTTCTTCCTTCTTCTATATGTGGTGGTTTCCAAAGTAATGGTGCAAAATACAATGGAACAATAAAGGTTTGAAACAAATGACAAAAGTTCAGGAAAGAGAAGAAAGAAACACCAAACATTAAACACGCCACCTTCTCTGTAGCTCCTTGATGCGGACCATCATGTTGAGGTGACCCTGGGAATACTGCTCAATCACGTCCCGCACATCGTAGGGTTTCCGTGCTTGCTGTGGATCCATGAGCACGCACACACACACACACACACACATACACACGGGGACACAAAAGCCATTGTCAACCACAGCCTCTGCTGCTTGGTCCCTGAAAACATCCCCAACCCCCTTGGGTGCAAAGGGTTCATTGTTAACTCATTGTATGTGTGTGTGTTTGTGTGCATGCGTGCGTGGCATTCTTAACTCATTGTGTGTGTTTGTGCATGCGTCTGCGTGTGTACGCCGACAAGTGCATGGCCGATGTAAAGCAATCGTATTAAGCTCCTTTCACAGCTTTGTTTAGTGCAACACTGACACAAGCAACATCACAAAGAACCCAGTGAACTCTTTAGGGTATCCCTGGTACATAAAAAGTATAGCCCCTGCAGCTGACATCACTTAGGCAGTAATTGAAAACATACAGAACACTTGGAGATGGTAAGAATATACAGGAACCACTCTGCAATAACATGCAGCATGAAAACGATGTCTCAAACACGATCATTGTTTTTCTTTAACTCTTTTTTTATTTTACTGCACAAAAAAGTTTGCACATTTCTGCTGACTCCAGTGTTACATGAGGCCATATCCTGCTGTGTGTGCACATGTAGTTTCTGCTGTGTTTGTGAGCGTGCAGTACGGTAAGTGAATTCCTACTGTAGCCCCAGAGACAGGTTGGTTGATTTCCCAAGATACTGCGCCTGAACTGAAGTGAGCACAAAGTAGACATGCAGGTGCAAGTTGCAGGCATTTACACACAAACACGCACGTACACATGAACACATGCACAGCAGCGCCGCCGCAGCTGATAAATGCCTTTGGGGCTTTCCCCCTCCTCTTCCTGTAACCACACACACACACACACACACTACACACACAAAAAATACTTCTCTCACTCTGTTTGTCTCTCTGTATCTCTGTGTTTACTGCTCCCTGGCTCTCTTCTACTCTGTTGTGTTTCTTTCGCTTACCTGAAATTTCTTCCTGGCCACAAAGTACTGCATCCTGCGGAGGACTTTTACAGCTGACCTCTGGGCATGGGACAACCTGTGTTTGAAAAGGGAGACAGATTTAGTCTAAAAGGAAAGCGGTTAAGGCTACACATGTTTTTTTTTTATAGATATATTGATGTTTTGTTAGGGACAGATACACTTTACATAGATAAACTATCTGATGCTTTCAGACATGAACTGAACTGCGGAGGAGCTTTATGTGTGTATGTCACCCCTCACCAGAATGCTCAGCAGATTTCAGTGTTATTGTGAGTGGAGAATCTCCTGCTCTGTTTTCATGTGGAAGAGGCAAACTCTGCAGAAAGTCCAGACCCAATTCTGTGGACATTCTGTAAAGTTCATGTCTGAAAACAGCAATAGACAAACTGTCTGTCAGCTGTCTAATGCACGTATCATTGTGTTTCTATTGGATGCAAATTTTCATGAAAACATTGGGTTAAAAACAGGGATAAAAGATAGAGAAAAATAAATAAAGAGTGCATAAAAACATTACAGACTATGTATCTGTGCAAGTTTGTTGCTAAAAGAACCAGGATTTGGTGGCTCTTTCAGAAATAGTGAAGTTTGCAGTAAAGTTTAAGCGATCAGGTAGCGAGCACCAGTACTTTTCTCCTTCCACAGAAAAAGCAGAGGATGTTTTACAGAATGAGACTTCACAGGTGCCACTTTAAGCTGCTCCGGTTGATCGACTGCAGCTCTATAGTCTCTGGATTGACATATCTGCATTCATGTTCATAAAAATCTGCATTTAACCTACAACAATATTCATCAACACAAATTAACGCCTGAGCTCTTGTTCGAGCCTCAACGCTCACAGCTCTGAATATGAAAACTGGTGCAAATTTAAAAAAAACGACAACCAGACTCAGTTTGCATCAACATGAGCCCAACAACACATGCCCCCGGCTCAAAGCAGCACATCTGTGTCAACACAAAGGAAAACCCACTGGTATGGAGCTAAACACTGAAACAGAAACCGCTGGATGCAAAAAACACACACACAGAGACTCGTACTTGCAAATCGCGGTGATTGTGTGGCGTGCACTCATGTTTGTTTTTTCAGGGACGCACTCACTCGGTTTATTTGTCAGAAATTGCTGAAACATGTCCTTGGGTGTGCAGTGTGTGACAGCAGCATGTTGGGATGATGTATATGCTACGAGTGGAAATGATCATGAGAAAACACAGAGTGAAATTTTGTTGAGTGACTGGACTTCACTGGTTGAAAAATACACAAATACTGAGTGCAGACTTAGAGACACACACACACACAAACACACACACACACACACACACACACACACACGAATGCTCACACACATGCACACACTTAAGACTGTACAACAAAGTCTGATAACCTGCGATAGGGTTTCTCAACCTCATCAGTCAGTGATCATGGTTTTATTTGAATGTCCCAGGACCCCAGAAGTTATAGAGCTGACAAATAGTCAAATAGTAGAATCTGAGAAGCTTACTATTTCATTATACTGTTTTTTCAAGGGCATATAGGAAGCTCCATAAACATCATATATTAATGATGCTATATAAAGTTTCAATGTGTTAAAATGCTGAAGAAAGATTTCTTATGACAACTCTTTATTCCGACATGGTGAGGCTGCAATAATCTGCATAATTTAAGAGCAATAAAAGTACATGTTGAAAAAAGCTCCTAAAGTAAAAACAGTTCTTCTCTTTCTTTGCTTCCTGTTTTTGTGCCTGTTTCTCTGTCTGTCCTCTATTTCAATAATTATAGTCAGACAACTGAGAACAGGGTTTTGGCCATAGCTCATACTGTGAATGGTCCTTATTAATGTTGATCAAATCACTGTTTTATAAGTGCAAATTCAGCTTTCTCTCAGTCTTTCCTCCTTCCGTGTTCACACTCCTGTTGCCCTGCAACACTCTGCTCACTTTTCTTTGCTCCCTGTTTTTGTGCCCATTTCTTTATCTGTCCTTTATTTCACGTGCGGTAAGACAAATGACCTTTCAGCCCACTGTTGGAATCAAAGACATCAAAGTTAGCTGGTGGGCCACGAGATGGTGTGTGTGTGTGTGTGTGTGTGTATACAAAGTTTGAACTACAGCCAGGTTCATCACTTTTCCGGCATCGTTTTTGATACTTGCAGTGCGGTTCTGTAATTACATATGTTGTGAGTTTTTGCAGCGCATGTGTCGTCAAATTGACAAAGTTGTTGTCTTAATTTGCACATGTTTATTCTATCTGCATGTGTTTTCTTAATTTTCAATCTCGGCCACTGTAAAAGCAGCTTAAGTTGACAGACACAAACAGGGAATGAAAACAATTATGTGGAAGAAAGCATAAAAATGATTGTTGGGACTCCAGGCGCCCACTTTTACACACACTTGTCTGGAGCATATAATAGTATGCTGTGCATAATAACATGCTCAAATGCTGTTTCTGAATGCTCTGTGTGTTTGCATGTGCGTGTGCAGTAAGTGCTCTTCGCTGCTACCCTGAGCGTGACTGCAGACACAGATAAGTTCTTCTCCACTTAAACGGCTCGCAAACAAAATAATGAATGCCTCCATTTGTACGTCAGCGCTTACACTTCTGTATGGGGTAACGCATGTGTTGTTTTTGAGCACGTCTCTCGAGTCATGTCTCAGTCAAAGCAGACACACTCACACACACACACACACCCTTGACACACAGAAAACACATACGCCGCCGCCGCCGCCCTCCCCCTCCCCAAACAAGGGTCTTTGTGGAGTCAACAAGTCGCTCTGAGGTCTTAATTAGGGCTGAGGAACAACAAAAGGACTTAGCAGACAATGCATTGACATGAGACCATAAAACCTGAGCATCAAAGTGCGTCTGGGCCGCTGTCTTTTTTCCTGCCCTCCATGCTCGGCCTACCCAAGCTATAGGAGGAAATGCACACAAACAATACCATGCATAAAGAATGTGAGGCCCTGTTTTGGGTGGAAAAAAGTCTAACCACCCCCCACCACCACCTCCTTGCTCTCCATCGTAGATGAGGATTTTTTTTCTAGTAACCCCTCCACATACACCCCCCCCCAAACATTTGACACACAGAAACTGATGCTGCCCTTCAAACACTTGCCGGCTCTGACTCTTCTTATTAATTCACCCTGTTCTGTCTCTTCTGCTCTTTGTGTTTAAGTTTCATCTGTGCAGTCCTCGTGAGTCAGCATAGCTCAGATCTCACGTATGACAAGTTCAATATTCTTTCCATTGTCCGGCGCCATATGATTCATTCTCTACAGTTAAGGTTGGCTGTGTGTATTTCTTTTCAGTCCTCTGCGGATTAAACCCCAACTTCTAGCTCAACAGCAGAAATCATATGCAAGCTATTGTTGATGGAGTCATGAACTGACCTTGTCCCCCTGTTGAAAAGCTGTGACAGATTTAGCCCCATGGTCTCCCCCTGGACACTTCTCTTAATAACGTTTCCTTTTTTTCATTTTCAGATGGTCACATTGGAGATCTCATAGTTGTCAATGGCAACTCTCCCTCATTCACCACCCCCTCTACTCTTTTATTTGGCAGGGGACTGTCAAATATCCTGTGCTTCCATGGTGCCCAGCAATAACCTCTGAGTCAGTCAGGAGAAAGCTGCTGCAGACATCAATGTGTGGGATGTTAGGGACCCAGCAAGACAGCTGGCCTGTGTGTGTGTGTGTGTGTGTGTGTGTGTGTGTGTGAAATGATAAGCTTTAAGACTAGTGACTGGTCCATCAAAGAGATGTGCTCGTCTTCTGTTCTCTGCAATAACAGACATTCCTTTATCGTATCTTGGAAGGATAAGATGACTACATTCTTTCAAGCATGTTTGATCTAAAAGTGATGGCATGCCAGAGGGTGTCGTGGTAAGAATTATAAGGGTGCTCTGCTGAGACGCTGTATCGTAACAGACAAGTTTCACCATTCAGTGAGGAATTCAAATGAATGGGCTTCATTGAAGTTTCTAATGGAAGAAATTCCCCCAATGTGGACCTGTCACTTTGGAGGGGTTTGTCTGATGAAGCCAGCTGTTGCAGTGGTTTGCACGAAAGAAGAACAAACTTGGTCTTAGTCAGAATGTGGTCTAAGTCTGAAAATGTATTTAGGAAAAAGGACGTAAAATGAAAAGGACTTGAAATACTTTTGTCAGGATTTCTGTCCAAAATGAAAAAATAGACAGAATTAAAATTGTAAAATGTTCTCTTTCCGTTGAGGACGCATCACAGCCAACGTTAGGGTCAGTTAAAAGATAAAGACAACCTGCATGTCAACTGACATGCATTGAACTCCAGATATTCTTCTGAAATTATCCAGAGGGGCTGAATGTGAACGAATGGGTGTGCTGATGAGGTTTCTAACACGTGACAGACGCTGATGAGCAGTAAACAAAAAACTTGTCATGTCCTGCCTCTAGCATCCTCTGCACAGGTGCCGCCCATCACCTTAATGTTCTGGAGGTTTTCCAGTGGTAAGCTGGCCAGGTCTGAAAAAGTCTTGAGCATATGAAAATGGAAAAACCCAACCCAGTAACTTTGCTGGATTCTCAGCTGTTTTAACCTCAATTCTGCTCGACTCAGTACAGGCAGTTGTTCTCATTTACACTCTTTTCTGTTCTCAAACAAGTAAATAAGCATAAATCAGGGTTTTGGACAAAACTGTGTGAATGGTACGTGTTAACATTGATCAAATCATTGATTGTTATAGTTGCAAATATATAAACTAGCACTTTCCCTCTTCTATGTTTGTATTCCCCTGCTCACAGTATCGTTCTGTCTGGTATTGTAAAATAATTTTCTCATAATGCTGATGTAATATTTTTTAATTTACTGTCATATTCAGAATTATTAATCTGAAAAAAAGTTTAACTTCACGACACGGAGCATCATGCAGCTGGTTAAATTTGGTTTCTGATAAAACAGTTTCCCATCTCCTTGTGTGTCTGCTCCACTTGTTTTCATGTTTCCCCCCCATGACCAGATCAATAGACGCTGATCGAGACATGCTGGAGACAAAAGCAGCAACCAAACCACATCAAAGCCCAGCGTCCA